GACAATCACTTCCTCACAATGGCCATGGCGACTGCAGGACCATCCTGACATCAGAGATGTAAAGTGTGGAAAACAACAAACAATAGTCAACACCCTTGTACCTGCCTCCTTGCTCGACAAAACAATTCCCAGCACCGCTGGAAGCTGGGGTCCACCTCCCTGATCCCATCTCTTGTCTTTCCTCCCTGGAGAAAGCCACTGCCCTGAACTTTGTGTTCACTGCTCCCTTGTTTTTGTCTTCAGTTTTACCAAGCATGTATGCAATGTATTACTTGATTCTGTTTTTGAACTGCTGTATAAGTGGAATTATATCCTATTCTGTGACTTGCCCCTTTAAAAAACCTTATGAGCAAAATTTTCCTATGCTACTAGTGAAGCTGTCATTCATTTTTCACTATTGAATATTCCCCTCCATTCGTATTCCACTGTATTAATTCATCTATTGATGGAAATTTGGAAATATTTTGCCATAAACATCCTCATAGCTATGTCCTAGGACACGTGTGTGTGCTTCTCCTGGGCACATACCTAGGAGTGGAATTGCTAAGTCTAGACAATGGCCCTCCCTGTTCTGATCACCATCAAATGCTGCTGCTCCCCTCCCCGTCCCCTAAGTAGTCTGGGGGATGACAGTCCACTTGTTTACAGACGTGCAGGGCAAAGAGAAGTTTATAAAAAGGATAGGGAGATGGTGGACGTAGAGCTTCCCAGCCCAGTCTGGGACTTTCAGCCATAGCCCTGGGGAGCCAAAGCTAGGAAGGGGTTGAGATGGAGCCTCATAGGCTCTGCTGAGCAACCCTCTGGTTTTGATCCCGGGGTCTCAGGCTGCAGCACAGCTGCCACAAAATCCACTGTGAGGTCACTACCGGGCTGTGGGCCATGGAAATTCAGACAGAACACAGCAAGCCATTCTCAGATTTAATGGCTCTTTATTTAAACTGCAGTAAAGACAAAATAGGCTCCCTGAGCATATTTAATGGTCATTAAAGGTTAGTCTCTGCTTTCTGACATTGCAGAACCAAGCGGCCACTCTCCGTTGCCTGCACGACGGCCTTCATGGTGTGAGGACAACTGTCTTGGTCACGATGTCCACGTCTGCTGTGTGGTGCAGCTAAAAGCTCCTGCTACAGCCACCTGTGCTGTCGCCCCTGCTGCGGACTCTATGGGGGTGGATACATCGGGCACAGTTGTGGGCTTGTGGGAGTCACGTGGGATTCCCTCCCCCAGCATAAGCAGCGGACGTGGCCCCAGTTACCTCAGAGACCCCGTGGCTGACCTGGTCTTGGGAATCTGCCATGTCCAGGCTCATCCTGTCTTCAAAGGCAGGTGTGCATGTCCTGTCCTCAGCTGGAACGGCATAGGTACCGCTTTTACTGTCCACGGGTGGTCGCAGGAGGGAAATGACCTGTTCCCAGTAGAGGAACAAGTCTCCCTGGGCTTGAAGAGGACACAGCTGCAGGTAGCGAGAATAGCCAGTGGCAAACTTCAGACCCAGCTGTTGGTTCTCACAGCGATGAACAGAGACCCTTCCAGACTTCAAAGGAATGAGTCTGGTGAGCTCCAGGGTCATCATTGCCTTGTGGTTTCTCCACTCGGTGGCCTGGCCATGCTCAGCATGCTCATCACAGTCCACGACTGGCTTTGATCACAGGCAAAACTGGTGAGGAGGGTCCCGAGGTCTTCCTCAGCCTTGGTTGCAGATGAGCAGCACTGGCATTGTATATACGTTGTATAGGCAAGACCTGCTGCATGGCCACGCGGTATACGACACAGAGCCAGCTACCTGCTGTACGACAGATAGCCAGCCACTTGGTAGGGTGGCAGGTTATACGTCGTACACCAGGAGGTTGGCTCTATGTCGTATACCTGGCAGCCGTCCAGCAGGTCTTGCCTCGTGGCGGCCGTGCAGCAGGTCTTGCCTCGAGGGTCCCTCCCAGAGGCTGGGTTGGGGACGGTGGCTGTGGGGACTCTGTAGCTTCCTGGATCACAGACAGAATCTTTTCAGAGATGGGCAGACGCAGAGTCAGCTCCAGAGAAATCTTCATCTGNACCAAGCAGCCACTCTCCGTTGCCTGCACGATGGCCTTCATGGTGTGAGGACAACTGTCTTGGTCACGATGTCCACGTCTGTGTGGTGCAGCTAAAAGCTCCTGCTACAGCCACCTGTGCTGTCGCCCCTGCTGTGGACTCTATGGGGGTGGATACATAGGGCACAGTTGTGGGCTTGTGGGAGTCACGTGGGATTCCCTCCCCCT